TTTGTCTGCCTCAAGAAACCCAGGAAAGTTACACAATGTCCTAATAAAAGTGATTAACTACAGTGGCAGAGGGAATGGTGTGGAAAGGGACAAAGGTAGGAATAAAGCTTTTCACTGTATATAAGTTTTAATATAATTTCATTTTTTACATTTAAAGTTTTGTTCAACCTGAAATTTATTTTGATATAAAGAGTGAGGCAGGGACCCAGCAGGCCCAACTGTACCAACACCATTAATAGAATGAATAATTTATCTTTTCTCTACTGATTTGAAATGTTGCGTTTATGAATGTCCACATATATTAAGGTCTATTTCTTAACTCTTTATGCTGCTCCATTTGTCTGTTTACTTCAGTTTCAGTAACAAAAAGTTTTAGTTATTGTAGCTTTATCAGATGTTTTTAAATATGCTAGGACTTTTACTTATATCTCTATTTTAGAATTTTTCTAACTATCCCAGAGTGTTTGTTTATCTAGTATTTAGCATAATTTTGCCAAATTCCAAAGAAATTCTCTTGGCATTTTGATTGGGAGGGTTTTAAATTAATAGATGACTTAGATCTCTTTATGATATTCAGTCTTCCTATCTAAAAACAAATGACATCTCTCCATTTATTCTTATGTTCCTTAGGGGAATTTTAAAGTTAAGTTTATTCCTAGGTATACACATATACATGTGTATACATACATATATGTATGTATGTATTTTTTTGTTAATGGGCTCTTTTCTTCTTTCTTTTTTTTTTTGAGACAGAGTCTCACTCTCTTGTCTGGGCTAGAGTGCCGTGGCGTCAGCCTAGCTCACAGCAACCTCAGACTCCTGGGCTTGAGCAATCCTACTGCTTCAGCCTCCCGAGTAGCTGGGACTACAGGCATGCGCCACCATGCCCGGCTAATTTTTTCTATATAGATTTTTAGTTGTCCAAATAATTTCTTCCTATTTTTAGTAGAGACGGGGTCTTGCTCTTGCTCAGGCTGGTCTCGAACTCCTGACCTTGAGCGATCCACCCGCCTCGGCCTCCCAGAGTGCTAGGATTACAGGCGTGAGTCACCGCGCCCAGCCTCTTTTCTTCTATTACGTTTTCTAGCTAAATATTGTTTACTTATAAAAAGGTTAATGATTATATTGATAATTAGAATACTTCTAATATTTCAAAATTAAGCACAATTCTGACTTTGGCCTGAGATATTTATTTCTCCACAACATAAAAGTGCAGGGTGAAGTAGCAAGTGCTGACGTACAAGCTGCAGCAAGTTATCTAGAAGATCTGGCTAAGATCATTGATGAAAGTGGCTCCACTAAACAACAGATTTTCAATGTAGATGAAGCAGCCTTACACTGGAGAAGATGCCATCTAGGACTTTCATAGCTCGAGAGGAAAAGCCAATGCCTGCCTTCAAAGTTTCAAAGGACAGGCTGACCCTCCTGTTAGGGGTAATGAAGCTGGTGATTTTAAGTTGAAGCCAATGCTCACTTACCATTCCAAAAATCCTGGGGCTAGTGAGAACTATGCTAAATCTACTCTGCCTGTGTTCTATAAATGAGACGACAAAGCCTGAGTGAGAGCACATCTGTTTACAACATGGTTTACTGAATATTTTAAGCCTACTTTTGAGACCTAATGCTCAGACAAAAAAGAATCCCTTTCAAAACATGACTGCTCATTGTATCTCATCACCAAAGAGCTCTGATGAAGATGTACAAGAGTTTTTCATGCCTGTTAACATAACGTCCATTCAGTCACATCTTCAGGCTCCACTTCTAATTCTAGTTCTCTTGCTTTTTCCATCGAATTTGCAGTTACTTCCTCCACTGAAGTCTTGAACCCCTCAAAGTCATCCATGAGGGTTGGAATCAACTGCTTCCAAAATCCTGTCAATGTGGATATTTTAACCTCCTCCCACAAATCATGAGTGTTCTTAGTAACATCTAGAATGGTGAATCCTTTCCAGAATGTTTTCAATGTACTTTGCCCAAATCCACCAGAGGAATCATTATCTATGGCAGCCACAGCCTTACCTGGATAATGAACATAACTTTTATATGTGCTGAGAAACTAAAAAAATGTGTGTGACTCGCTTTATTGCAATATCTGCTTGATTGCAGTGGCCTGGAACCAAACCCACAATGTCTCCAAGGTATGCCGGTAATATCTTCTGATCTGCCTAAACCCAAACTTCCCATGAACCCCAGTAACGAACCCTCGCCTCTGCAGAACAGTCTCCTCTGGAATCTCATTTGATCCTTGCAAGGACCCTGAGAGACCAGGATAATTTTACAGATGGAAAAACTGAGGCTCAGAGATGTGTCCAAAGTCAGACCACAAGGCAATGACAGCACTGGATTAGCCCCAGGTGACCTGTGTAGCAGAGCGGCCTGCAGCACAGGCCCTGGTGTTCAACTGCAACTCCACTGGTCACCAGCTGTGATCTCAGGCAAGCTACTTAAGTGCCCCAAGCCTCAGTTTCTTTATTATGAAATGGACATGATAATAATGTCCCATCTCCTGGGGTTCCTCTGAGGGTAAAACAAGTTCACTTAGCATAGTGCCTGGTACTCAGTACTCAATAAAGTGCCAGTTACCATTATCATTAGCTAGTCCAGACTTCTTTCCACTCTAGCAACCCCACCTCCCTAATTATTTGTGGTTCCTTGAAAAAAATAAGGATCTAGGAGACAGAGGGCCAGCTCTAACTCTCCCTTTACCCCTTATGTTGGGCAAGCCAATACCCCTCCCTGAGACTTGGTTTCTGCATCTGCAAAATGAAGGTGTCTTCAGACTCTGGTGACACCAGGGAGAAGACCTCATGGGACATCTGTGATGTTGGTAAAGGCTCACTCTGACTGAGGCTCCCTGGCTCCCTGACCCATGGCTGGCTGACACCTCCCCCCTCAGGTTCATCTGCACTCCAGGCTCTTGCCCCATCTCCAAAGGACAGGGGACCAAGTCACTCTTGCCACTTAACTGACCCTCACGTGGTGCCCAAATCTACAAACAGAGCCCTGGCTACTCCTGCCTGAGCCCCAGGGCTGACCTGAAAGCCCAGGTCTTAGATCTGGCCCTCCCTGCCTTGGGGCTGGGGCCCGAGTGACCCACTGTTAAAGGGCTAACTCGAGTCTAACCCAGCTTCCCTGATGCAACCACAGCCACCTGTGTCCTGCCTACATGCCCATGGGGACATCTTGCTACCTCAGACTGGATCCAAGGCTCTGGCCCAAGTGCAGCCCACCAGCCCCACTGTCTACTTGCCCAGTCCCCAAGAGGGGCTCCTGCTTGCCCAGTTGGACAACCTCCCTGCGCTGGCAGCTGGGTCTGTCCATGCGGGAAGACTCCACGTTATCCCACTGCTGCTGGGGGACAGGGTCTGCCTGTCCTGCCCCTACTCGTCCGGCCCTTCTGCAGCAACGAGCCCCATGCTGAGCAGCCACCAGGAGAGGAATAATAGCCACATGTATTGGGTGTGTACTGTGTGCTAGACTACAGTCCAAGCACCTTGTATGTATGAACCCTTTAATCCTCACAATAGCCCTGTGGGGTAGGTGCTAACGCTAGTCTCACTTTACAGATAAAAAGGCCCCAACCCAGAATTCTTATGTGACTCACCCAAGATTGCACGGCTAGGAAATGGCAAGTTCAAACCCAAGAGTGTGCCTCCATGGCTCACACTCTTAATCCTCACACTGACAGCCAAGGAGGCTGGCTCTGGTCCTTCCAGAAGGGCAGCTGCTTTGCACCCACCGAGCACCTTCCAGCATAAGCCCCCTGCCCTTCTTGACTCAGCCTCTGCCTAGAAATGTGAAATGCCAACAGCCATCTGCGAGGAATCCTTCTGGAAGCTGGCGCCCACCTCATGAAAGGGATAAATCCCAGGCCTCTGAACACTCAGCCCCACCCACAGGGGGTCCCCGACAGGACCTGACCTGCCCCCACCCTGGCCACAGTCCATTTGGCATTTGTTCTCCAAGGCTTTATCAGAATAACATACAGCGACATCTCGTCACAGCCGTAAGCCTGGCCCAGCACCTGACCTGTTCCTGGACCCCATAACCTCATTAATAGAAAAAGGGCCAGTCACATCCCAAGGCACCAAGAGGCTGTTCTTCCCACCATGCACATACTCATTCTCTCTCTTTGCCTCTCTCTCTCTCTCTCTCTCTCTCCCCCATGCATCCCCCACACCTGGGCGCCCTCACCTGTCACGATGGGGTAGGACTGCGGGCCAGGCACACTGCTCCCGATGTCAGCGGGTGTGGGACTGGTCAGGTTGGCCTTCATGTCGTCCAGCCCTCCAGCCAGTGAGGCCATGGCTGAATACTCCGTGGTCTGAAAGAGGAAACAGAGACGTCTCAGCACCAAGACCTCGAAGCACCCTGGTCAAATACCACTGCCACGTTCTGAGCTCAGCCACCAAGCTGGGCCAGTCCATGCCTGTGCCAAGGCCCACAGGGGGCTCATGAACCCCCCGGGACTGAAAGGGCAGATTCAGCTTTTGTCAAGAAGCAACAATTCTTCCCAGGCAAGGAGGTGGGGAGGATTCAGTGTGGAGTCGCAAGAATCCAACCTAACTCTCTCTGGGACAGGCGGGTTCCCCTCTCCCAGCTCCAGCTGGGCGGAGAAAGCCATCCTCCTCAGCGCAGTGAGGGACAGATCAGTAACCAAAAGCAAGGCAGAGATAAGAGTCTTCCTGCCAAGAGGATAAAAAGAAAGAAGGTTTTTGATTTCTGTGCTCTCAAATCACAGAAGTGGAATCACAGAAACAAGGGTTCAAAGGAACCTGGGAGACCATCCAGTCCAAACCCCCATTTCACAGACAAGCAAACCGAGGCCCAAGGGGAAGGGACTTTGCCCATGGTCGACAGGGCTGAATCCCAGGCCAGGGGTGGGTCACCATAACGCCCACCCTAACCCAATACGTCAAGCCAACTGTGCCAAAGCTTGGCACGTGCTTGTGAATTCTGTAAGCACACAAACACCTGTATGCTGAAAACCATGGGGCACACACATCTGATTTACCAAGTCCACACCAGCCATGCGCATTTGGCCCACGAGTCATGCTCCTCTCTTTAAGCCGGTTCATGAAATCAGAGCTTGGGACGAGCCATTTCCTTGCCATCCAAGCCATTGTGTCCAGAGAAGACAGCAAAGATGCCAACCTGGATCTTCCCACTCAGGACAGACTAAATTATAGGCATGAGCAAAACACATCTCTTCCTCCAACCCAACCCCCAGGCCTATTTTCAGGTAAAGAAAATATTTGCAAACACTTAAGACAAAGAATTTGGTTGTGATGCCAAGATTTGGTGAGGGGAGTTTCCTCTAGGACGCTGGCATTGCCAATAGAGGACACGTCCGTGTCTGTCCAGGATTATATCCTTATCAGGCAGGGACAGGGAAGCTAGCAGTCTTCCGGTAGGAGTTTCAGGCCCCCTGGGTGATGAGGACTGAGCCACTAGGAGGGAAACCAAAGGAGCCACTGGGCAAGCGGCAGGCAAAAGAAACTCCGACGGGCACTTTTCTCTACAAATCAGTTAGAAAGTACTTTCCTGGCAGCTTAGGAGCCAACCAGGGTTGAGGGCGGCAGTGAGTCCAGGAGGTGCTGTGGGCCCAGGCTCTCCGAGATGATTCTCAGTGAGGACAGCTTAGCCAGAGGCCCCTGGGGCTCGTCCATCGTCTTCCATCAGAGGCTGATTCTGAGACGTGTGGGGAAGAACACAGGCCCCAGGCGAGCCACGTACTTCTCAGGGAGAAGAACAAGGCTGGGGGGACAGGCCGACCAGACATCAGGAATCGCTATGAAGCTACAGTAATTAAGACAGTGTGGTATTGGCACAGGGATAGATAAATAGACCAATGAAACAGAATTGAGTCCAGAAACTGATCCGCGCACATATGGAACTGTGATATATGAGAGAGGCGGTGTACAAATCAGCAGGAAAGGATGGACTCTTTAATAAACAGAGGGGGGTAACCGGTTATCCATTCAGAAACAGGGGGGAAAAAAGAAATTGGATCTTTACACCAGACACAAAAATCAATTCCAGGTGGATTAGAGACCTAAATGTGGAAGGCAAAGGCGTCTCGTGTGGTCAGCTCTAGGTCCAGCTGAAAATTCTTGAGAACAAGTCTGCCGTTCCTAGAAGAGAAACGAGTGCCTTTTCTGTCCTGGGATGCTCACAGGGGGCTCCTGGTCACTGTGAGGACAGTTTTGGGTCCCCGTCATTCTGCCATCCTGCCTCAGTGCCTCCTCCTCCAGAAAGTCTTTCCTGACTACCACTCCCCAGGATGTGTGAGTCCCACCTTCACTCTGCTGGCCCTGCCAAGTGGTGCCAGGACACCAACAACCACAGTCTTCACAACTGCATCAAACGCTCACACCTAGCACCGACTCTGTGCCAGGAGCTTTACCTGTGCTGTCCCATTTAGTCTTCATGGTCACCCCTTGAAGTAGGCTCTGTGTCAGATGAATAAACAGAAACTTCTATTACAGAGGGGAAGTGACCTGTCTAAGACCACACAGCTTCTAGGTGCCCAAGCTGAGATTCAAACCTGGGTCTATCCGACTCTAACATCTTGGCAATTACCCTAATGATTTCCATATTGTGGATCCTGCCACATTAAAAGGTAGTGAAATCAATTTTCCAGTCCCAATATTTTAAAAAATGAAATTAGAATGACATAGAACAAAAAATATCCAAGGGTCTCACACATAGAAAGGGTAAGTCCTGTTCTGGGAATCTTTGTTTCACATACCAGTGGGTATGTGTGTACTAGGTGGAGATTAAGATGTATTTCTTGCTATAGGTCACAACGAGCAAAGTTTGGAAAACACAGCCTTCATTCCATACAGCAGGGAGCTGTTGGGAAAAGGTCACTGTCTAGACTTCATCCCCCACAGAATGGGACTAGGTCATGGCATCAGCCTCCTAATTTGCTAAGAAGAAATTTGGAATAGAATTCCACTCCCCTCAAGCAGCTCCTTCAGTGCATTGCTGCGTGCAAAGATGAGAGATCAAAACGCCTCTGATAAGGGGCATCTTCTAAAGTTTCTGGGCCTGCAGGAGTAGGTCCTAGCTCCTCCCTCCTCTCTATGTTCTGGAATGCCCTAGTGAAGGCCTGTGCATAGTGGGTATGTATTTATCCAACATTTGTTAAGCCGTGTTGAATGCAACATGGTGTGTGAAACCAGACACACACTTTAACTCTCATCCACAAACCCCAAGAGAAAAGACACATGGCCCAGAAATTCCATCCAAGAGGGACAAAGAGCACAGAGCCATTGATTTACCTAGGAAGTGGTCAGGAAGGGTCTCTTAGGGCAGGCCATATTTAACCTGGGACTGAGCCATCCCTGACCCCCAAGGCTGAGGGCAATTGAAGTAAGGCTCTGAGGCAGGCTCTGAGGCAGGCTCTGAGTAAGGCTCTGAGGCAATAGGACAGGAGGGATCCAGAAACAGGAAACATGCAATAGCTAGAGGGAGTGAAACATAAAGGGGAAAGATGGAAAGGTAGAGGTAGCCATACTGGAATTTGACAGTGAAGGGCTTACACAGTGAATACTGGGTGAAAACAAGAACAAGGGCTCCTTCATAGGGCCAGGTGGCATCCCAGCCAAGAGCCAGCATCCTTCACCCCTCCCAGGCCCGCCCCATTCCTAGACTCCAGCCTCTCCTCTCTGACACGGGCTGGGCAGCAGGTTCTGCAAGGCAAAGCTTCTATTTCCCCCAAGAAAGCAGAGCCGACCTGGCTTTAAGGGAATTGCAGAAAGGGTGGCCAGCAAGGATATCCTGCCCTTAATGTATTTAATTTCCAGATGGAAGAGCTTTTTTTGCTATTTGCTATTTGTTTTAGTCAATAAATTCAGTATCAAACAAAGTTTATCCAGTCACTTCAAGAGTTGGGTTTGGATCATCTTTTCCAGATGTGAAATCGTCAACTTTCACTATGCATGCAGTGGGAGGTCCAAAAATCCAGTCACTCAACCACTGTTGGCTCCCAAAAGGTAAGGCGAGCCTCCCTAAGGAGCTGGGGCCTGAGGGACAGTGGAACTCAGAAATGAGTCCCTTTACCGTCTGTGTCTCCACCATCCCCGTCTTGTGGGGCTTGCCCAGAGCCCCACCCTCCTCTTTGGTGGGATTCCCAGCTCTTACTCTGCTCCTGCATAGCCAGGGGAGGCTGTCACGTAGTTTCGGTGTTTAACTGTTCCCTGAGTCCTCACCGCTGTCTGTCCCTTTGGAGCTGCCTGTGATCTCTAAAGGCAACTGCCTTCTCCCCAATCTCCTGGGCTCCCTGGAACATCACCACCCTGGCTGCTCCTCAGCCATTCCACACACTGTCCCACCTCTTCCTGGAGGGCCCGTCTCACTCAGTCACTTAGAGAACTCCTACATTATCCACAAGACCCAGCTCAAATGTCACCTCCTCAGTGAAGCCATTCAAGGGCCCCACATTCCTTCAAAGAAATACTCTCTCCCTTGCCTACGCTTCCGTACTTGGTGGCATTTCGCACAGACCTCCATTATCGCCATGTATAATGACTGTTTGTCTATCTCCATCCAGGTTGCCTTGAGAGCATGGAAAATAAAACATCCTTAGTGCCCCCTAAGTGCTTGTTGAATGAATGAATGAATGTATGTCATCAGCCACAACACTCAAAAATTAACTGGGAAGTGTTTGAACAAGAGCTCTACGTGATATTCTAAGAACCCCCTAGCCCCTTTCCCCCTCTACTCCTCACCAAGTCAAGTGACCAGAAAGCAATGTCTCTGTCTAACATGTTAAACCTCCTAGGGTAGCAACTTCACTGGTCTTTGATGGAATATCAGACGTTCCACATTTGTAAGAGGCAATAAAAGAAAACAGCCACATAAAGAACATTTTTTTAAACCTCTGGAGACACGTTCATTAGAATATTCAAATTCCTTGTCAATCCCTCCTCCAATTCAATAACAGGGAAAAGTTATTTTCCCCAGATGAATCGTTAAGCTGCATCTGCCTGAACAATAGAAATACTAGAAACCACTGCCTATCCCTTTTTGCTTTGACTGCCAGGAAACTCAGTCAAATTCGCTGCTCGATCACCAGAACCACATCATTACTATCTCCTGGCGCACCGATCTTCCCCTTTTCTCTACATAATTTCTAAACTTTTTTTCAGACTTAACTAAGATACATGTAATTGTTTATTTTGCAGGCCACCCCAAGTCCTTTGCGAAAGAGAAGCCTGAGAGAGATTGGCTGATAGAAAAAGAAAGAGAGGAAGAAAGGAAGATCAGGGAGAGAGAACAAGAGAGAGAAAGAGATGAGAGGAAGCATTATTGATGCCT